GGGACACACACACACGGTGTGTTCAGCGGGGAGCTGGGGGGAGTATCCTGTGTCCCCGGGAGCGGGTCTGGCACCAAGAGCTCCTCCGCCAGCCGGGAGCGACGCTTGTCCCGGGAAAACATCAGCGTAGCGAGATTAGAAACCCTTGAAAGGCAGAGAGGGTGCTGCCGGTGGTTGTGTGTACCCTGAGCTCCGTGCACCTCGGCTCAAGGATCAAAGTAGTCTCTAAGTGGTGTTTTCGTGCCAGGTGAGAATGGAACAGGAATGGAATAGAATAGGAAAACCGATCAGAATAGAGTAGGATATCGGTAATGGCAGTTTCAGCAGCTGGAAGAAGACGGAGTTCTCCCTGGCTGTGTGACCGGAATCTCAGTGTGTGTTACAGAAATTCAGAGGCTGAGCTTGACTCACCTTGGGTTGGCTCCCGCTGATTTTCAGAGGAAACAGGAAGAGGACAGCAAGTGTATCTCGTTTCTGCGGCAGTACAAAGCTTCTCTGAGGCACTCCCTCTTCCAAAAGCGCCGCCAGACCCACAAATCTCTTCTATTTATCCTAACAAGAAGAATTTAACAAAGAAAAAGTTGCAATTTCTTGCTTTATTAGTTCAAGAGAAACAAAACATTCCTGATGCAAGGGAAGATGTATTATTCCCTCCAGCTAAGCCTTCTTTATTTGCAGACTGTATGACTGTTACTCTGGTAGTGTGGGTAGTCTTTCTAGCTCCAGCATGACCTGAGCCCCACTGGGATCAGTACTTCTGACTAAAGCCTTTGGGCTCTGCTTGTGGAAGCCTCCAGAGAATATGTCCGTGTCCTAAATGCTTTTTGTTTATTTCTTTATTTAGGCATTCTTCAGTCTGATTCGAATGAGACACTCTACAGTAAAGGCCCTCCCCAGCATTCCCATCCATAGGGCTGGACAAGATGCTAAAGCAGGTAAAAGGAAAAACAGGAATTGCGTGTGCTAATTAAATTCTAGTGTCAGGAAAGAAATCTTGGCTTGTTTCCATGCAACCAAGATTAGGTAACTACTAATGTTTATTCACTCCTACTTCATTAATTGACTGGACCTATATAAGTGTGTGTTTTTGAGCTGTATTACACCAAGCGAGTGATTTTAGTTATGCTTTAACAGGGCAGGTGTTAGTTGCAAGCCCATCCTTAAGGCTGTCTTTTCAGTGAGGTTAACGGACACACGAGCTCTGCAGCGTAGGTACCAGGAGTGATTGTATTTTCAGTTTTCATTGTGTTTTTCTTTTGGCTCAGCAATCACCATCTCTTCTCAAACGAAGTGACGTTGAGCACGAGGGTGCCCTTTCTCAGGTCTTGCAATGTCAGCTGCACCATGGACTTAACTTGGCTGGTGCCAGCTTAATACAGTGGATATATGGGCAGGCACAGGAAGAAAGGGCATTTGGCAGAAGCTCAGCTTGTCCATGGAGTATTTCATAACTGCACATGTCTGCTTCCTGTGAAAGCAGCAAGCAGAGGAGACTAACAGAAATCACTTTGATGGCAATGCTTAACTGTGTTGCTAAGCTTTTGCTTTTCCTTTGCTGTGTACAGTTGTGTATTACTGGAAATGAGCTGCTAATGCTGTCTGCAAGAGATGATAATGCTCCTGAGTACATTATTGTAGCTTTGATATATTTTTAGTAATGTGTTAAAGGGGTTTTACAGTATATTACCCCTTTTATTAGCTTAGATCATGTAGTAGGAATGCTGCTAACTAAATATAGCACTTTTCCTGTATAAACAAGGTGATTCTGTTCATTGACTTGGTTAACCTGTAAAGAATTGCAGATTTGTGCTACTAAATATAAACGAGTAGGGTTACGTTGGAGGACTTTCTATCAAGGAGAAGGGGAACAGAAAAGGAATATCTAGAATGCAAAAAGCAGGACTGGCATCTTTTCCCTCTGCATTTTCCCTTCTAGCCTCCCTCTTCTTTCCCCCAGAAATGAGAAACAGGACCTGAAGTGTCTCTTCTGGCTAAGTTTTCCATTACATTTGTACAACAAAAGTGTCCTTCCAACTAATATCGTCAAGGACATGGGAGCCCAGCGGCTAAGATTTAAATACTTGAAGTGATTCAAAGAGGACAAATCCTCACCTAATGCATGCCAGCTCTTACACCACCACCATTTCTGCCCCCTGCATCCCCCTTGTGTGCACTCTGTGATTGCACTTTTGGAGTCCTCAATCTCTGCTCTAAAAATGAAAGTCTCTGCTAGGAAAACTGCATTTCTGTTGGACCACAGCAGCTCTCAGCTCTGCTTTAGCCTCTGCAGCCAGTCCTTCCTGCTTCCCTTTGCTTAAGGCAGTGTTTGCATTGAATGCATGACACTCACAGGCGTAGAAGTGTGCCAGTTAAGAACATTGTGTCTGCTGAACAACCTGCAGAATTGCAAGCTCCAGGTAGTGTGAGTCTAAGGACACGTTCTTTCCGAGTGCCTTTGCTTACAGCCAGGATTGCCAGCAGTGAATTCAGTTTACAGTGTTGTCAGCCTGCCATTTCTCATGTGCTAGATAATACCTTTCTAAAAACAGAGCACCCCATGGGAACCATTGTTGCAGGGGGAGGGCAACCGGGAGGAAGAATATCTCCAACATACTAAGTTATGACTCCTGCTGAGACTGAATTTCAGTTACATGGAAGCAGTAGAAGAGCTATAGTGGATGAGGTGAAAATTCAGCTGTATTCAGCCTTTGACTGGTGCTGATCTGACCTCCCCTCCCCTCCAGAAAAATGGCCAAAAAGCAGATTCTCCAATCCAGAATGACCTCAATGAATCATTTGAGGAAGAAGTTAGAGCGTTCCTCAGTGATGAAGAGAAACTGCATCTTTTTGACGACCTCACGAAGGTTAATCCAGTGACAACTACAACAGGTAAGCAGCCAGCCAGGCTAAAGAGTCATGTTCCCTGAGGAGTCACTTTCCCTGGTGGCCACTAATGTATGGTAGTTACTGTTCTCATTGCATTAATACTATCATGACCACAGTACTTAAAGGCTAATAAAGGTTATTCAAAGCCTTAGAAAGTCACATTTGGCTTGGTTGAATATTTTCCCCCATACTTTTATTGTAGATGCGGCCATGCTCTTACCAAGCTCTGCAGGCAGAGCTCACGTTTGTATTGTTGGTTCAGGTGGCCAGGGTGTGGTTGAGATTTAATGCTATTTGAAGGACTCCTGCATGACCTTGTGATTGCAGTGTGGTGGTTTAAGAACGTATCAGAAAACAAGGCTCTAACTCACTTTCAAAATCTACCCATGAAATTGGTTTTGAAAAGTAAATTGCTCACAAGACTTTTAAAGATGATCCTGTTAGGAGAAGGTGAGGTCTGTTCCTAGGGCAGACGGGGAATTCTTGCCTCTGGTTGTGAACTGATTTGCTTTTTAGGACTATATGAAGCCTTATAAAAGCACGGGATGTATTGAATGGAATAGTTAGCACATCTCTTAAGGGCAACTCTTAAAGACTGTTACACATTTTAGTCCTATATCACTCTTGATCACCTCATTCTCTATTAAACCTGATAGGTAACAAATCTGAAGATTTTTGTTACAAACAGACACAGGAAGAGTTGAATACACTTTGCAAAAGATGCTAACAGAAGGTGTGTCTTTCAGTTCTGAAATGTCTTCAAGCAAGATATACAGTAAACTTGTTTTATACAAATGCTGGCTGCAGCCTGGTGGCTTTAAATCCGTTTCAGCCTGTCTCCTACCTCTATTCACCAGAGCTTATGAGAGAGTACCATGTTGCACTTCGTCCTCAGGTAATCCTTATGTTTGAAATAACTGTCCTTCTGCAGAACCCAGATGTCAAGTTCTTCAAAATCTTTAAGAGCAAAATAATCCTAAAGGATGAACCCCATGTCTGCTGGAATATGAGTTCCATTAAAAGAAGAGCTCTGTTACCTGTTTTCAGATAAATTTGATAAGGCCTTTGCTATCCAGTGCTGTTGAACTGTGTTATTACTGTTCTCTTTAATGTGAATATTCTCTTTTACTGCCAGGATTTAAAACCTCACATCTTTGCAGTGGCTGAGCAAACCTACCGAAACGTCCAAAGCCAGATAGAGCCTGTAAACCAGTCTATAATTGTGAGTGGAGAAAGTGGTGCTGGAAAGGTAAGCAGGTGTTTTTCTGACATTGCTCTTCAGTTTTGAGCTTTGCCGAGGATTTGTAGTGCACAGGAGTGAAGTAAAGCAAGGAGGAAGAACAACCCCTCTGACAGAGCACCTACCAGTGTGCTTTAGCACAACTCGTTTGAAATATGCATAAAGCACTAAATGATTGCTGCAGTTAAATAGACTTACTTAATAGAGCTGCTTTTTAGGTGACATTTGTGGTTTCTTGGAGGGCTAGATTTGAGTCATTCAACAGGGATCACATCTGAGCTAATTGCTCAGCATAGTCCATTAGGGAGCTAGTGTGGGTCTCAGCAAACCTTGTGTAGACACTTAAAAGAAGCAGAGAATTCAGACCCGATCTTAGGCCCTTCTGTAACAGTTCATCCCTATTCAGGAGGATATTGAGGATATTTTTAAGCCTGAGAATGAAAGGATTTCCTGAGTGTTAATGACTCAAAGTCCACTTACATTCAGTTCATCTTAAGATACTAGCTGTTAATTCTAGCTGAGCTTCCAAGTGTTTACACCTTGATAAAACCACCGTTCTCAAAGCAGTCCAATCAATAGTGTTTAAATGTGTCTGTTGCATATAAGCATATACACAAAAAGTTTCCACTGAACTGGAGCTGAACTGACACAATCACTCTCTTCAGCATCATCGCCAGCTGCATACTGTGCTTACAGAAGCTAGCACTGTTTCACTAAGTGACATAACTAATAACACAGTAAAAACAAAGACCTATTGTCAAACCTTTCTCTTGCAGACCTGGACATCTCGCTGCCTTATGAAATTCTATGCTTCTGTTGCTGCTCCAGTTATCTCCCCTAAAGGCAATGAAACTGTGGAAAGGATAGAGAAGAGAGTGTTGGATTCCAACCCTGTCATGGAAGCATTCGGTAAATAAGGCTTTTTTTAACAGCAAAAACTAGTGGCTAAGTCTAAACTAGCTCCTGGTCCTCTCCTTAAAAGACAATTTGTCTCTTCAAATACTGCAGCTATGTACAAATCACCCTTAATATCTGTATGTCCTACACGGAAGAGTGGGACCAGTCTGATTATTCTCTATGTGTCACTGGCAATTTCACAGGAAACGCATGTACCCTGCGGAACAACAACAGCAGCCGGTTCGGAAAGTATATTCAGCTTCAGTTAGACAGGTAATAATAATCACTGTGTAAAAACCTTAGCTGTTGTCTTGGAATCCTATCCAAGCCTATTGTTCCTCAAGTCTGCCACTGAATATTTTATCTGATATCATTGATTTTATCAATATGTTATATGAATATATATATATATGGAGCACCTCCTGTATGAAGAGAGGCTGAGAGAGTTGGGGCTGTTCAGCCTGGAGAAGAGAAGCTGCGTGGAGACCTCAGAGCAGCTTCCACTGTCTGAAGGGGTCTACAAGATGCTGGAAAGGGACTCTTCATCAGGGCCTGTAGCAATAGGACAAGGGGTGATGGGTTTAAACTGAAAAAGGACAAGTTCAGTTTAGATATAAGGAAGAAGTTCTTTACTGTGAAGGTGCTGAGGCGCTGGAACAGGGAGCCCAAAGAAGTGGTGAATGTTCTATCCCTGGCAGGGTTCAAGGCCAGGTTGGATGGAGCCTTGGGTGACATGGCTTAGTGTGAGGTGTCCCTGTCCATGGCAGGGGCTTGGAAATAGATGATCTTAAGGTCCTTTCCAACCCAAACCATTCTATGGGTTCTCTTTTTTTTCCTTGCAAACTCTTACCCTGATCTCTAAAAGGGCACAACAGAAAAACAGAGATGCAGTTAAGAACTCTGAATAAAATATAGTATTAGGCTTGCAGCAAACTGAAGGTGAAGTGCAAAGCATTCATAGTCAGTACTGTAACAACACATCACCTATCCCATTCTGTAAGTTTTGTTGAAATCTTTGCTTTTTTCCCCCCATTCTAGATGTCACCATCTGACTAGTGCTTCCATTCAGACTTTCCTTTTGGAGAAGACCAGAGTTGCCTATCAGGCCCCCAATGAAAGAAACTTCCATATTTTTTATCAGGTTTGCCTTCAGTTAATTTTGCAAGATGTTTCTGACAAACAGTGGGGATGAAATCAGCTTTTAATGTTTAACAATTTCCCTGTCTGCCATGTATCCAGATGAAATCCTGCTCTCAGTATGTTATTCTTCATTGTCTGTGAGCCGTAAATACCAAAGGCAGATTTCAGTCATTACCTTGTTTTCTGTCTCCAGATCACAAAAGGTGCTACTGCAGAGGAGAGGTTGGAATGGAACCTTCCAGAAGGGGCTGAGTATCGTTGGCTGCCAAATTCTGAAAGAAACTTAGATGGTAAAGATTAATTTCAGAGACTGTCCATTAATAACAGCTGTGACTTTAAAGGCAGGAAGGCAAAAATGTGTCTGTCCTATTAAGTCTTATGACCCAGGCTGGTCAGCCAACAGCAGACATGTTGCAAAGCCACCTGCATTAATGTGACTCTTTTTAAGTTTCAGTTTGCACTTACTAAGAGTTTTCATCTGGCTCAGAAGAGCAGTTTTTGGCCTTGTGAATTTGCATCTCTCCCTGGCTATGTTTAGAAACTGTCTTGTCTTTGGATGTGCTTCAGCAACCTTCTGCCTAACTTGAGAGCCCCACAGAGCCAGTATTAAGTCAGTGACTTGGTTCTCCGAGTCTCTGAGGTCTACCAAAAGCACATATCACTTCCTTGATCTCCTTTGACAATTCCAGCTACACTGGATGTGGTGTGGAGCGTTGTGCTTGCCTGTGTTTGTGTGCCTTGCTTGCTCTTAAATAGCACTTGTTTGGCTTTTCAGAGGACTGCTTCGAGGTGACCAGAGATGCCATGTTTCACTTGGGCATTGACCACTCCACACAGAACAATATTTTCAAGGTCAGGTACAAAGCATGGTCACCATGAGGCTGCTCATGGAGTCTGGAATGTCTCTATAGTGGGGGATTTCTGCAGAAGTAGATCTATATCAATGTACTCCTGACTGGAGGGTCTACAGCTACACATTAGGTTGCATAGCTAAGATCCTGACTAAAAGCCTTCACCTGTGAACTTCAGTTTTCCTTCAGGAATTGCAGCTTTAGGAATTAACATAGAAGCTTGGAATTGAGTTGCTTTTTTGTGTGTGGAAATGTTTTGATTTGTCCTCTTCATGTGGCTAAACGAAGGTGAAGAGCTCTGTTTAGAAAACTGAATGATTGCTTATATTTCAGGTACTTTCAGGCCTTCTTCATCTTGGGAACATTCAATTCTCTAATCTAGTGGATGAATCTCAGCCTTGTGAACTAGAAGACAAAATCAAAGGTGAGGCAACAAGCATGTCATGCTTCAGCGAGTCTTGTTATCTTAGTGCAGATGCCTGATGGAGAGGATTTACTGTGCTCCTCTGCTTGATAGGAGACTCAAGGTCACGGGCAACCCAAAATCATGGTTTCAAAGTACTGAACAAACAACAACTGAATGCTGCCCTGCTGGGAGAGGCAATATCCTTCCGTTACAGGGCAAGGCAACTGCAACATTAGAGAGTCATTTCAGAAGGATTATTGGCAGAACTGTTACTCCTGACTGTAATCTTACACTGACATCATAAGACTTCCAGCCATCTGACCCCAAGCGGAGAGCAGGGCTTGTAAAATGAAAGCTTTGAAGTTTTCATGAGAAAAACTAAAACTTAGTAACAGCAAAGTTAATTGCTTAGTAAATTGCAGAGTAGGACACAGGTTGTTCTAGTGTGGATCTAGTTTTCCTTCAGAAATAAAACACTGTCCTGAATAGTGAAGTTTCCTACTGTTAATTCACATGCTCTGGATTCACTCTACCTAACATTCAAATAGTTTTGCATACAGCTCAGGTTAGCAGGATCCTAAATACTCATTCTTCTGTATTTCCTTAATATCCCAAAAATCCCTGTTTTTTTTCTGGACATGACTGATTTGTCTGTCTGCATTTAGAGGTGTCTGCTCAAAAACGGTGAAAACAAAGACCTACCTAGAGAGTAAAATGCCTAAATGCCTAAAACGCCTGCTTCAGTGTAGCAAATTTCAGACTTTTTTGGTACTATTGTTTCATTTCAAATACAGTACCTAAAATTCCACGGGTCCTGTACATCCAAATTAAGAGTCTGGTCTTGCAAAACTTTCTCCCAGGTTTGGGTAGAAAGATCCAAAATCACATTTCAGTTGGCGAGTTCATGGATATGTCATTTTTCTATCCTATCTCTAGACCTTCCATAACTTTAAAGGGGCTGCATTCATTTGACACTCAAGGTAACCTCACCATGGGTTTTTTTCCCCGAACAAGGTTCTGTGAAGGCTGCTGGGGATTTGCTGCAGATACCTGCTGAGGAACTCCTGGAGTCACTAAGAGTTCGAACAATAACTGCTGGAAAACAACAACAAGTCTTCAAGAAGCCATGCTCCAGAGCCGAGTGTGAGACCAGGAGGGACTGCCTTGCCAAAGTGATTTATGCTAAGTAAGGACACATAGGCCAGGCTGCTGTGCTCATCCATACACCTTCTGTGAGGGAATAGTGAGGCCAGAGAGATTTACTTTCCCTGGCTTTCTGCTTGGACTCAATAACAGCATAACCCTCCCTTCCCCTCTTGACACATCCTTGATTCAATTGTAGGTAGGACATAGCTGCAGATCTAGAGAGAGCTTCACAGAACTGCTGTTCCATGTCAGCAAGCAGCATGTCATAGTTTTTTGTTTCTTCCATGCAATACTGGTATAATCAGCAGTAAAAGAACACTACTCTGATTGTTGTAAGCAAGGGCTTTCCAGCTAATCCAGTTGTCATTGTCTGCAGATTGTTTGAGTGGCTCGTTTTGGTCATAAATGAAAGCATCTATGCAGATCCATCAGCATGGACCAACTTCATAGGTATGGTTGTTCAACCCTGCTTTAACTGAGTAACCGTAAGTCCTTCAAGCTACTCTTAAACCAAAATGCACTCTCTTCCCATATTCCTTCTAGGTTTGCTGGATGTTTATGGTTTTGAAGCCTTCCCTGAAAACAACTTGGAACAGCTTTGTATTAACTATGCCAATGAGAAACTGCAGCAGCACTTTGTAGCACACTATCTGAAAGCACAACAGGTAATACCCCACTGAGGTCAAATGTTAAGTATCTCATTTTAAAACAGCATCTTTTGTCTCTTTAATTATATTCCCGTGCCTCTGGTCAGATTGCAGCCTTCAGCTGAGTAATGCCACAGGAACCAGTAGGGTGTAACAATTGCTTTCTTAAAGAGAGTGTGGGGCAGTTGGTGGAATGAGACAGGTTTCTCTCCTGGGTACTGGAAATCTGTTCCCTCTTACACAGCTCCATTGGCTTTGTGGCCTGTTAAGCTGTTTGCTTTCCCTCAAAGAGCTGAACACTTTAAATTCTTGAGGTAAGTGTAGCCTAAATTGAGAGTCTTTTGAAAGCTACTGCTTATAAACATGTTAATTCTCTTCATCAAGTATAAAGTACCTAAATGGGTGGGGAGCTTCTAGACCTGCCCTTAGTGGGAAGGCAGAGAGCCCAACAGAACCTTGTAATCCAAACATCAAGAGGACGTGGTACCTGATGGAGGCCTCTTGCCATGCGAGAACAGCTTCATAAACCCAGTTGTCATGCCAGTACCTTGAAAGACAAAAACACACTGTGCATCAGCTTTTATTTTTGAGTGAGGAGGTACATGGATTGTGTTGTTTCACAGTAGAGAAGGTATTTGCACCATCCTAAATACACTGCAGTCACTTGCCTAACTGGTCACACACTGCTAATTTCAGTTCTCATCTGAGTGCTCTGAAAGCTGCAGAGTCCCTGCCTGGACTGCTGCTCTAATAGATGTACTTCAGTCCTCACTGAATTCCCCCACATTACAGATACATTACGACAGTGCTCTTAGCCATTAACTGGAGTCGGGGAAATTGCTTTCTTTATGGCACCAACATGAGGGCCTTCTGCCTCATGGCATAGTTTTGTCAATTTATTGAGGAGATGAGTAGCTCTTTGACCGTAATTTATGCTTTCATATAACCAGCCTTTTTTTTCCTGCCTACCCTCCCCAGTGTGCCAGGGGTTAATGGTCAGTGAAGAAGGAAAGCAAGTTCTAGCACACAATTACTTTCCTCGTAACTGATTCATGACCTCTGTTTATAGTATCCCTCCCTGCCCTCTTACCTCTCTTGACCTGACTGTGTCCCAAAGCACTTAAATGCCATTAGTGGCTGTGCTGAGCAAGCTTTTGGCAGGAGACTTTTAGAGTAACTGGCCAGAGCCTGGCTTGTTAAACACTCCTGACAGTTTGTTCTGTATTTCAGCATAAATATTGCACGAATTATTTCAACCAGTATCTTTCTGCACTGCCTTCTGTATCAGGCTTTGCATTAAATGAAGCCCAGCTCCATAGTAAAGTCTGGCACACAACGGTTGGTTTAGGGCTATGTCCTAATCTAAGGAAAGAGTTCCACACGTTCTTTGCCCTTCAGGGAAAACCCCAGTATAGCCAGGAGAGGCTTAGTGTGACTCTAGCCTCTGTTTACTTTGGAAAGGAGCCATGCTGTGCTCTCTGATAAAGCTACCTGGGGTAGAATATCCTCCTTTGTTTTCTGCCCCTGAAGACTGCTGTTGAACACGAGCTGAGTTTTGGATGAGTTGGCTGAGGCCGGGATTAATTTGTTAAACAGTAACTGCATCAGACTGCAAAAGGCAATCAGTTCCTTGGGCTCTAGTGCCCTCTGCTGCAGAGTAACCGGGTTCTCTCTTACTTCAGGAAGAATATGCAGCTGAAGGCTTACAGTGGTCTTTCATCAACTACCAGGATAACCAGAAGTGCCTTGATCTGATAGAGGGCAATCCTCTCAGCATTTTTTCTTTGCTGAATGAGGTAAGCGTGGATCTAAACCCCTAATGCTTTTGGCCTGGTTGCCTGCCTTCCGTCCCATGCCACCAAGGAAAACACAACCACTTTATAGAAGGAAGCTTGTCAGCTATAAAATTTCTGCAGAGCTTATATTTTAGAAGCATCATGACGCTGCTTCTTCCTATTCCAAGTTCTTTTTCCCTCTGATCCTGGATATTCTGATTCCAATATGAAGCCTCAATTACACTTTGGGGGGTTTGGTTTTCCCCCCAGTATTTCAGGGCTTGCATACTCAAAGCAACTCTAAAAGTAAGATGTCTGATGTTAAAGTGTTTTAGCTTTTGAAGGCAGTTCTTTATGACAAATAAGAGATGTTGCAATTTTGTCTCTTTTGCAGGAGTGCCGTCTGAATAGATCCTCTAACACTGACCTCTTTCAAACTCGGATTGAGAAAGCCTTGTCTAATAATCAATGTTTAAGTCGAAACAAGTTTAGTAAGAAGCCTAACTTTATTATTTCACATTATGCTGGCAAAGTCTGCTATCAGTTGGCAGCAATGGTGGAGAAAAATAAGGTAGGTATTTTCAGGAAGAGCTGTTAAAAACCAAAATAAAACAATCGTACAGACCTAAGGCAATTTAAACCAAAGCACCTCTAACAAGTATATTCAGTGAAGCTGACTGGATAGACATACCTTGCTCCAGATAAATCCTTCAGGCTGTGTAAGACTGGGTGACATTCTTGGTCTGGTTTTCAGTGAACCATCACTGGCACCAGCAGATGTTTTGCCAGCAGAACTTTCAGCTGAGCACTAAGTGGACCACGTATCACCAAATCAGGGCTTCTTCCGTGCCTGAGGGTGCAGAAAAGTTGATGACATCAGGGCATTTCTATAACCATAAATTAGCACTTGCATAAATATAGCGCTTCCCCCCAAATTCAGGTAAGTTTATGAGCAGCAAAGGCATGGACTTAACTACTGAAAATCCTGCTGTACCAGGAAACTCAACGTGTGGCCTCATTCTGCCATCAGGCAGTAAGTGGAACAGTCCACAGACATGAGGGTCCCTTGTCAGTTCTGACACCACCAGCAATTACAGCAAGTGGTATTAGGTCATGCAATCAAAGATCATCTCTTAATTAAAAGGAAGACTTTCTAATACCTGCTGCAGGCTGTCCTGCAGGGATTAAACTAGTCCTGAGACCTCTAGCTCACTTCAGTTGTATGAGAACAACGCTAGGAGCAGTTGTACACTTGACTGGATTTCCTGAGTGTTCCTGAACCTGACTGTGAATCAGTGTGTGTAGACAGGTTCGAAGACAGCCATCACAGTTGGCATCAGAAACTATTCCACTTATATATGCAGATTTTTTAGTCATTTTCAAAGGTGGCAGGTTTCTGCCCAAGTCCCAGTCCTGATGAGTGATGTTTGTGTTTGCAGGACCCCATTCCACCAGAACTGGTCCAAGTTCTGCAGAATTCAAAGGACCTTTTGCTTCAAAAATTATTTCCTGTGACAGAAAGGAACCAAAATAACATCAAACCCCAGAACAGAGCAGCTGTGGTTACAGTGGTGTCCAAGTTCAAGGTACACCCTATTCAAAATTCTTCTTTCTACTGCTATCTTCATAACTAGATGAGGAAACAGTATAGTCGGAATAAGATCAGTAAATAATATTAAAGCAGAACAGCTATAAACCAGAAATAGCTTCAGACTTCTTGTATTCTCTGGGTTTTAACTCACTCCAATTTTACCTTTTCCTTTTTGAGGCTGCTTCCTGCCTGTTCCTTGAGGAGTTTCTGCTGATGCCCAGCTCTAATTTTGGAAACTTTCTGAATTTACCATCAACAATGTTACAGAAGCACCCAGAGAGTGAAGTTTTTGCTCAGGCTGCCCTTAGAGCAGAGCTCTGCTTATGCAGTGTCTGTAAAGCCAGCCTTGCAAAACACTGCTGCATGGTTTTTACAGAAGAGCACTGATCAGCTCAACTACCTGTGATTACCAACACTGATTAAACCTGTATTTGTTTTCTACAGGGTTCACTTGAACATCTCATGCAGATTCTGAATAACACCACCCCACATTACATCCGCTGCATCAAGCCTAACGCCGACTGCAAGGCAATGACTTTTAAAAGAGAAGAGGTAACTTTTCAAAAGGCTTTCCTCACAGATTCAGTGAGAAGCTTCCCAGAGACATTGTGTAAGGGATTTGCACTGGGTCTTTCATGATCTTGAGTCACTTGCAAAGCTCTTCTCACAGCACATTTTTAAATAGCTTTTTCTCCTTTGGAGTTTCCAAGAGAAATGTCCTTTCAGAATCACTGATGATGCTGGTTTAAAATGGAACTAGTAAGCACAGCAGCTCTTCCAGATGTAACTTAACTCACTGCGTTCCTGGGTTGTTTAAGGTGCTACCATCTCAGCCCTTAAAGTAGGTAAAGGTGATCTGACTGCTCAGCAGTCCTGGTCGCACAGATACCTTCATGGGGAATGCCCACAACAAGACTTTGTTTGCTCCTGGAGTCTGGTCTAGGACAAGTTAGATGAGATCAGCCAACAAGCATGCCTTTGGGAGCAGGGCAACAGATGCTGAAGCTATAACTAGAGAACCTCATCTGACGTCAAGACAAGCAGCTGGAGAAGTGCTGCCTTAATTTTAAACACTTGAAGAATTTGCTGATGGCATGCGAGTAATATTGAAACACCAACACTGGCTCTTCATATTGTGCTGCATTCAGTCAGTGCAGGGGGTGTGGGTACTGCAAGAGAGGGCACATGAGGACTGTCCCTCTGTGTTACCACTGCCTTGACCCTGCTCTGGGTGTTACTGGCAGGCTCTGGCGTGGCTGCTGAGCTGAGCTGCACGTGGCTTGGGTTGAGCACACCCTGGGCAGGCCTTGGCAGCAGCTTCCACAGGAGTTACCTGACCCATCTCAATTTATGCCTCAGGTTCTCAGCCAGCTTCAGGCATGTGGAATTGTTGAAGCCATCACCATCAGCGCAGCAGGCTTCCCTGTTAGGTAAGTCCAAACTTCTTGAGCAGTGTCTTCCATAATGCATTTCTATAGCAATTAGTGGCATGTTAGTTTTTCAGAGGATCTTATAAGCAGGAAATCCAAATAGTTTGCATTCTGTCTCTTTGGGAAGCTGATTCTTTCAAAGGTGTCTGGAATGTTCTGCTCACTGCTTACGTTTAAGCCTATTTGAGCACCTCTTTCACATTTTGGAGACAAAAACACCTGTGGCAAATGTGGACTGTTGTTCTGCATTTTGGATTATGAAACTCTACTCATTCAGCAAGTCCAGAAGTGCAGTAACAGTCTAGAAAGCAGTGCTAGCACAACTTGCACTAAAGCAATGGGATTCTTAAAAATACACTAAATACTAACAAATTCCAGATGTGTCTATAGCACACCCGTGGTCCAAGAGCTCACTGTGCCTTTCCAGTCTGAGAAGCTGGGGAAGAGATGTTTTGATGTGGACTATTATGTACTAGAACTTTCTAATTGAATGTGGCTTCACAGTAACATTTTCAGCAACTAAACTGAAATGATAAATGGCATTTGTCTAAATGCAGTCATTTCCAAACTGAGCAGCTCATCGCAGCCAGTCCCCTTGCTGGCCTTTTGTGACCACATTTAGGGGGTGGAGAGAACGAGGCCTGAGCTACTTGTATTTTTGACAGCTCAGGATCACTGTTACCATAAAACAATTCCCACCCAGTCTTTGTTACAGTCAAAAGTCACTGTTACAGGGCAATAGGCAGTCCCTGGATTCCTTCAAGAAGCCCACACTTTCTTGCATGTTGATGACTACAAAGGCATCAGTGCATTTGCATTCTATCTTTGAAGCCTTTCTGCAACATCTCCCCCTCAACACATCAGTTACTTACTCTCTAGCAAATGATACTTGCCTCGGATTAACTGTACGTTTGTCTGTCAGGATCCCTCTCCAGAGTTTCACTGAGCGCTATGAAATACTGAGAACATCACGTGGAGCCAATAAAACCAGAGGGGGTGATAAAAGCAACTATCACACTGCTGAGCTAAATGGTACGTTTCTTTAGATAATCCCTCTGCTACCAAGTAAAATGATCACTGCACCAATTCGGTACCGCACAGATCAGGTGCAATCACTGTATTCACCACTAAAGACACCACTGTTCTCAAGGTATTCTTCTAATCTCTCACCAACCTGAGTTTCTAATTTGTCTGATGCTTACAACAGGCTCTTAAAAAGTGTAAATCTTCCGTCTTATTGCTGTTTCTTTGTGTTCCTCTTGGGAACAACGACACTTATGATGGTGTTTGGGGTGCCCCCCAGTATAATTTGATTTAGAGTTGATTCTTAAGTAGACTTGAAAACCACTTACCTTTTTGCTTATATTCCTTCTCCTTCCTTCTTTTTTTTCCTCCACCTTGTTTTCTTGCTGAACATGCTGACCTTCTACCTTACCTGGATTCTGCTGCTTCTTCTACCTTTTGCAAACTTCTGTATGTGATTCTTTGTAATAAGCAAGAGCGAGGATGGACTTTAAAAAACACAGTCCAGTCTACAAGGTAACATCCTTGATACGAACCCTGGAAAGGAGCTCATCAGGTGGATACATTCAACACTGAAAGTTACTGCAACCCCCTTCTCTCTCCCAGATTAATCCCATCTTCACTCAGTGGGTTTAAAAACCAGAAGATGTGGGAAGCAGGACCAGTAAGTACCAGCCTGTGTCAGATAGGTAAAATGGCTGGAAATCCATGCACCTTGCAGAAATGGAATGAAGTAATGAAAATGACTTACACACCATATCCTCCTCCCTCACTTATAAACCCATTAGTTGAAATGCCTCACTGTGATAGGTTACTAGTGCTTTTTATCTTAGTAGCAGGTAATAAGCTACAAACAAAGCAAAACCATTTCCTAAACACGGGGATAAGCTTTTGGTTCCCTGATCAGCCCAGCCCCACGAACACCACTGTAGTCACCAGATGTCTTCCTGTAAGCTAGAATTGCTTATATTTTTTTTTCAGTACCTTAAAATGCTCTCATCTCCTTAGAAATATTTATAGCAGAAAAGCAAACAGTATCCAGGATGGAAAGATACAAAGACCATCAAGTTCCAGCACTGGGCATGCAGAAACTCATGCAGCATTGCCTTGAACAACACAATCTCTTTCAAGGACAGGTCTGAATTAAGTCTACCTCTATTTGCAAATAGATTAACCTGGTTAACCTGTTTGTCTCATAACATAAAGACTTGTTTACTATGTCCCAGAAATGGTTTTAACAACCTCTTACTGCTGCAGTAAGCGCCTGCTTAGTACATGTCCCTGTAGCTGCTTCTGATGCCCTGTGAAAGCTGCAGATTTGTGTAGAATTTGTTTTCCATTTCACATCTTTCAGCACATTAAAGGCCAGGAGTCTAATTCCTTGCTTTTTGTTCTGTTCCCAATAGCTTTGAGATTTGGCTATTCCATCAGATTTTCTTAGGACTGGGCTGCTGAAATCTATTCTTAATTGCATTGCTGTTGCTTTCTAATGTTTCCACGTAGGAGGCTTTAAACAATGTGAGAACAGCTGAGCCCTCCGTGTGTCTGCTTCATTGGCTAGATCTACCCAAAATGACATTTGTTACCTATGGATAGGTTGTAACTTAGCCAATAACACAGCACCTAAACTACATCCTAATTAAAACACGCCATGCTGGTTTTCTAGTTGCTAGTACATGGTGAAATCTAGGCTGTCACATTCTTCCCATAAGCCCAGGTAGATCTAGTGATGTGTCAGCCATCACCTCCTCCCCTCTTGCTGTAGGTGTATGCCCTCCTGATGGTCAAGAAATGTCAGTGTAAAGACAATTACTCGGGCCTGATTTCCAAGTTTGGTGATACCTTCTCTTCAATGCTCCATTTGCAGGCAAGACTCCAGTGGTGGATGAGGACAAAGCATCACGCTCTGTTGTTTCTGAGATCCTTCAGAATGTTACTGGAAAAACTACTGCTGAGCAGACAGGGAAGAGAGCAGAAAACACTTCAGTGTACTGCGGCAAAACCAAAGTATTTATGGTGAATGCTGTGGTAAGAGTGCTATTGCCTTGGCTAACAGCTCTGGAATGTACTTGTGTAATGGAGATTCTGGCAGAGTTATCATGGGTTAGGCAATACTCCTAATGCCAGCGCGACCACAACTTTGCATTTTCCTTCCAATTATTAAACTAAATCAAATACCCATCAGAATCCAACTATCAGAAGCACTTTGTTTAAAGGCGTCCTTATTGCTAACAGACAAGGAGCTGCATTCATGTTCAGTGTTGTCAGCATCCCCCCACCTCCAGTAAAGACTGCAGCTTCTCTTAGCTTCAGCTGACAGACTTGGCTACTCTGAAAGGCTTAAGTAGCTTCTTTGTAAAAGAGGTGAAGGAGATGAAGGCACTTTGCAAAGCTTATATACTGGACGATGCAGCCATAGAAGAGCCCCCCTCAATAGAGCTAATTTTAAGCCAGCTGCTATTATGAAATTGGAAGTCTCCACTTTTCCCCACCATACTCCTCCCCCTCCTCACTTACATTTCCATTTGACATGTTATCCAGTAAGCACCAATGAAGTGCTCTCACTTCTAAACCCTAATGCAGCAGTCGTAAGATACTGAAATGTGCACGTGGTTTTCTGACAAACACCAAGAGGCTGTAGAAGAGGGAGGAGTTGTGAGCACAGCTCCATCCCCAAGTATTAACTGCGGGCTCGTATCCCCGATGCAGCTGGATCAACTGGAAGCTAGAAGAGCAGAGGTGCTAAATGAGAAAGCATTTTGCATTCAGTGTTGCTGGAGAAGATTTAAACAGAGGAAACTAGCAAAGGAGAGATGGTCTGCAACTGTCATCCAAGCAGGTAATTTGGTACAGTGGGGCTGGACATAATATAACGAGTAACATTGCCAGTTACACTGGATGTTGGAAGTCACAGGAGTGGTTCTGGTAACTGAACATGGAAAAGCTGGAAGTGCCATCTCTTATGTCATGTGTAGGAGCTTCTGAGATTCTTTGTACTCAGGTTTCTTTTACTTAAATCTTCAGCTGTTCGTTCCTGGTTAGCCAAGAATCGCTTCCAAAGGATGCGCAGGGCTGCTCGTGTTATTAAGCGTGGCTGGAGGAAATGGAAAGTAAGTACATTGGTACAGGAAAACATTGAGTGACTGAGGCTTTTTAGTGTCTGAGAAAGAATCTACCTCTGTCAAGGAACAGCACAAAACCAGTACTGTCACTGCTTCAGAACAGTGTTCTCAAGCTGAAGCACAGAAGATGGATGCCAGGTCTTGCGCAGCTGCTTCTACTGGGTAGCAGCGTAGACTGCAGAATAAGTTCACGCCTTCCTTCATGAAATGGGAGAAAATCCCAGGGGGTGTCCTGCCCTTTAAGATGCCTTTTTTAGACTCTGAACTTTTGCACTTTAAAATGTTGTTTGAGAATCTTGTTCAAGAATATTTTTCTGCATCTCTTCGTCAGGCAAAAATGGCTGCGCTGGCAGCAGCAGAACTGGATGAGGGTGAAGAAAAGGTGTTCTCTGTTCCTGCAGCTGCGCTGCTCTCGGCCAAACCACCTTGCTCTTTGGAAACAACTTGGCCTCTGCAGGCAATAATTCAGTTCTGGCCTCTTGGCCTTGTCCTGGCTGCTGCACCCGTTACTGTAACGGGGCCTCGGAGGGACCTGTCCTTGCTGGCGTGTCTCAAAGTGCTTCAGAACGACTGCTACAAGGTGGAAAGCTGCTTCTTTGGCTGTGGCATCACCTCCATTAGAGCTCTCCCACAGGTAACAAACCTCATGCGCTTGAATCAGCAGCATGATTAAGCTGCCGTGAGTTCAGGAACCTGAACTCTGCTGTGGAGCAGAGCAACTGTGAAGTCTGCTCTTGAGACCTTCCTTCTCCCACTGGCCTTGACACACAAGGATGACTCTAACATCAATGGGTCAAGCTGGACACAGGGCTGAGTTCATGAAAGCTCTTACCTCTACCTCAGGAACAAACTGATCAAAGCTGTGCTTCAGGCATGGAGAGCACAGGATCCTAATACAGGCTCTGCTGTTATGTACTCGGGTTTCTGCTTAGGGGATTCAAGTTGCACAACAGGTGAACACATGAAAAAGAATCCACTTGGGGAAAAGCCACTGGGTGTATTAATACTTCCCAGTACTTCTGTATGAACAGGTAACTGCACAGACTGATTCACACAGAGGGTTTTCATGGCAGAAAGCGAGGAGCAAACCTCAAGTATTTAATCTCCTGTGCACATGCAGAATAGTCTAGGACACCATTACTACAAACAAGCCACAACCCACACTGGCTTCCCTCAGAAATTGCACTCTGGTTACAAATCACCCTGTGCTTGGCTTTTGTTGATAAATTTTTTGCATAAAGTTGCATAAAATTATGTGTGCAAGCATGTAGTCTGTGCTTGGTCACAGTTACGAGTAGGAAGAAGCAGTACTAAGTTCAGTACTAACTACTGTACTAACTACTAATTAACTAGTTTAAGCTAATTTAGGTTCAAATTATAGTATTGGTACTCTTTGTAATCCATTTGTACTAGGACTCCTGTGGTCTACCTCTATCCTTATTCACTAGTTGTCTATATACTAAAGCACTCCTTAGTCTGAATAGCAAAATTAGCTCACAATGTGGCAGAAACATGAGCTGACCTCTCCTCCTCCTCTTCTTGCAGGGCTCTGTCAAGTTCCACTGTAAGAAGTCTCCGCTGCATTACGCAGATGTCAGCCCCCACACGGATGCTTACTCCATCACTGGATTTAACCAGATTTTACTGGACAGAAAAAAACTCTTTCCAACATAGCTTTTGGCCATCTGCACTTATTGGACTTTTTCCTTCAGGGAAGGACTGTCTGCGAGCTGCTGCTTTCCAATTACTCAACATCCATATCTGCTGCTACCTCAGAGCTTTCTGTATCAATGCATTGTATGTATAATATGCTTCAAATTTAGGGGGGGGGGCATTCCTCCTCTCACACACACGCACATATTAGAGGAAATATCAATACTATGAGAACACTCAACATAATTAAAACAAATCAAATGCTTTAAGCAGTAAATACGTGAACTGAACACTTCTGGCACCACCTGGGAGAAGTAAGAGGCTGGTAATGAGCAAGCAAATAAGGCAAACATTTCTGTTAGGTGCTGGATTCCTGTTGGGGGTACAACTATTCTTGCTGACCACAAGTGGTCAGTCACATAACGCTTCTGACTGCGACTGAAGAATGAGTAGCAGCCAACTGTAACACTAAAGGCAGATGTCTCAGGGAAAAGCAAGACTGAACTTTGGTTTTTTATCTATACAACCGAATTACGTGCACTCTCCCAGCTGCCATGTATTTTTAGGACTCCCTTGTCAACAGCATGACCTCTGCCAAGGGGCCAGGGTTCTCCCCAGAGATGCTCTACAACCACCTCTTTGCTACTCGTGTCAGTCTTGAGAATGTTCAGCTCTCCTGTGTATATGCCACTTTTAAATAAACCACTGAATACCTTGTAAAGGTGTCTGACCATCTGCAGCAAGGTTTCGTTAACAGAAACACTTCACATTAGTTTGTGGATTAAAATAAATGCAAATATATTTAACATTGCCATTGGGAAGCAATGTTTCCCAGGGTTGACAGTGTCTCTCTACCAACACAAAGCATGTCTACAGAATAACAAGTTTAATTCCTAGCATCTAGAAATCTGTCCAACACGACCCTGTCCCTGTTTCACTCTAAACTGGAGCACTGACACCCATGAGCAAAGCACGAGCAAACCTTGAGGAAGGGCACAGCACAGTGCACCACATCAGCAGGGGTGCTGCTGGCCTGTCAGGGCAAAAGTCTCAAGGAAAGAAAAGCGTTCCCAAAGTAGCTCACTCAGGAAGAACGTTCTCCTTCTCCGGAGGCTCAACAATCCCCAAGCAGCAGTCTGCAAACTCAACGAATAACGGCTCCTGCATGTACTTCTTCATGAGGGAGCTTTTGTCTTCTGCTTGATCGACCGTCAGCAGGAGCTGCCGGAGGTGTGGATTCA